TCTTGCAACTGTATATATCATGATATACGCCTAGCCATACTTTTTGCATTTTCTATCATATTACATGTATAGTCATTATGCTAATTATACAGGGCTATGGTTTACATGGTCACATATAGGTTTCTAATGAAACCTTTCAGCGCTGCTTAGAATCACTAACCAGTCTTAAGTGATTCCCACTGAAATATATTAATGTTGCAATCCGGATTGCTTCTGTTTTGTTTTTAAATGTGTTCAATGATTGTATGTGTCGCCATCCACGGATATTATTTTTTTCCCAACATGGGATTAATAAAAATATGTGATTTTACATATGAGCTATGTTGCTTGGGTGTTTATTGCCTACTTTGGTAGTTTGCATCTTGCAACTACTACTCTTTTTGCTATTTATAAATGCTGCTCAGCCATGGACAGGAGGCTTTGTATTTTTATGAACGAATGCAAGGTTTCCTCTGAGGTTGCGATTGTGAAGTCATCTGCCTACCTCAGCCAACCAGGGGAAGCCTTATATTCATTCATAAAATGCAAGAGTTCCTGTGAATGGCTTAGAAGTACTCAGCCCAACACAATTTTGTTCTAGGAGTGGAACTGGAAGTCCGCATCCTGCTGATGGACACAGCACTGTATACAGCTGATGCTACATACAGTTTATACAGCACATACAGCAGGCACATCTGTTAGTGATAAAAAGAATTCATTTGGACCAACTTTGTCAGAACAAACTAAAGTTCACCAAACCTGTAGTTAGGCTTTAGTGAAATGTACTCACACAACTGGAGTAATTCTGCATTCAAGTCTATATGAAGTAACCTTATTGCACTGCTCATGCAATAACTTCACACAGGCTTTAAGGGGACCATACTCCAATGGTATTGGTACTGCTTGTTCATGATCTTCACTGAAGAAATGTCTGAATGTAGGACGCAAAGGAACTGTCAAAGACAGGCAAGTGGACACACTGGTGTGGGGAGGGGGGTAAAGCAGAACTTCACCCAAAAGGGAAAGTTCCGCTTGTTTGCATCCCGCTTTGACAGGTACCCGCTCTTATTTCTGGGTAAGATAGCCGCGGCAATCTTTTGGCCCCTCCTCATTCCCCCCGGGACACACACAAGTCCCAGAAGATTGCGGAACCAGTCACGCAGCTCACTACACCCAAAGCCGTTTGAAGAATCATCACAGGTGAGGACATCGCTGGATCCCTAGCTAGGTAAGTGTCCTTATATTAAAAGCCAGCAGCTACAGTATTTGTAACTGCTGACTTTTAATTTTTGTTTTGGGGTTATCCAAAGCTGAATATAGTCTTTAGATACTTCAGAATCATTATACGATAGTTTTTTTAAAACCCATTTACCACTTCATTTAAATGGGCAATAAAAGAGACATTTGGATTTTTTTTTTTTTTTTTTTTTTAGAAATCATACTTACCTAGGTGGATGCCACATCTGTCTGCTGTCGGCTGAAATTGGGTCACAGGAGTCCAGAACAAACTGACAGATTAGCTTTAGCTGTACTTCTTTAAGCTCTCACAGATGGGCTTCTACAAGTATCCTGCCTAGATATTTGTTGCTAGTCGCCAAATGAACCTCCATGCATGCCTAACAAATAGAGGTTGTCAAACAGATATCTGATTTACAGCCTTCAAGAGGCTGATAGAAAAAGAAAAAAAGCATGTACCCCTATTTATAGACCTGTAATTTATAGGCATTTGTTCACGTCAGACAGGTTTTCCATTAAAGCAGGGCAAATGCAAGTCAAAGACACTTATCAAATTCTGAATGATCTCAGAAGCATCTCCAAAGAATCTATGGAGTCAAACACACTGGGAAAAGCTTTGTTGTGAAAAGAGGACTCCGCTACACACTGCAGGAAATCTCAACGCACGTTTACTGGAAAGCGATGTCCTGATTTGATATTATGTAAAATAAGACTACACCTATGAAAATACATTTCCTGTGATTTCATTCTATAGCAGCTAACCAATAAGCTAAAATTAAAGATTTCCCATTGCACTTCATTATGTATATATAATTTTATTTATTTTAACAAAATAAAAATATTGTTTTGTGTCAGTGGCCTAATCATTTTACGGTTTCACCCATTTGGTTTTTCACACTCACATGCAGCCCTCTCCTCTCCTGCGTGAGTCTAATTTTGGCACATGCAATCAGAAGGGTTGTAAGATTTAATATTCTAACCAAAGAAAATCCTGTGCTCCTAGAGAACAGGTAACTACAAATACACTGCAAAGGATCCTAGGTAAAGTAACCTTTAACGGTTATTAGTGACGAATGTGGATTACCCAGGATCTTTTGTCTGTGTGCTGAGCTTAAATCTCAGATGAGATTATAAATAGAATAACAACGACTTTTTGTTATGTCACCTATCCAGCATGTCAGTAATGTATCTGTTTACTAAGGGCTTGTTCTGTAGTCAAAAGTGGTATCCTGTGAAATAAAATCATCCCCCTACCCACAAAAATTCTACAATACAGTTAAGTAAAATTACTAATTTTTAAACCTTTGGTACACCAGAACAAAACAGTGTGGGCACTTTCAGCAACACAGCATTTTCAGAAAATGAGTGCTCAATGCCATTTCTTAAAGTGCACCCATCATGATAAATGGGGGCAAGGCTATTGCCAAATTCTTTTAGGAGCAGCCAGTGCTTTGGCTCTCATTCTTTTGGCTTCACCAGTACGTAACAGCTGCTGGCCACCTAAATGGTTACTCATGATCTGAATATTTGTTCTAGCTCATGATCTGAATAATTGTCCTAGGACTCACTCATGACACAATTGTGATGGCAGTGCATAAGGATGACAACCTGGGAGTTGGTAGCTGTTTCATATTACTAATAGAAGCATCTAATGCCAGTGCCCACCTTTCTATTAAGACTGATTTTGCGCCATGGTAATTGTGGAAGGTCATCACATCTAATAGGTGCACTGGTGTCTCTCCATAGAACTGCCATTTCAAAACCATAAACTCCATAAATGGGAGGAACTTCCTTTACAAGATTCAGATTGATATAAAAAAAAATGTAAATGTAGAAAGTATCTCTACACTTGCACATTCTGCGTTGACTGGTTAGGTAACAGCGACATGTAATTGTTGCTTACTTCTGTTCCAGTGTTGCATTTTTATGGCTTAGGGCTCGTACATTCAAGTCTTATCTTACAAGGTCCTGGGCTTTCTGATGGCTTCAACATAGCATGTAATACCAGTCACTGCTGGGACAATGCTGTGGTGGATGCAGTGGTCAAATACATTTTGGCGCTAGGCTAAAATTTCAAGTGAATCTGACTTGGCCTAAAAACTTTCTAAAGCAACAAGACTGCTGAAGTGTAGGCCCCTCATGGTTCTTGCAAATACCTGCGTTAGGCTTAAAATCAATTTTTGTGATTCCTTCTTGGAGCATAGGCTGAGGATATGCCTCAACATCTGACCACTAGATTCCTCCGACTCCCACTACCTTTCAATCAAATGTCAAAGCTTGCCTTTCCAGCTTGTGCCTTCGACAGAAGTCAATTAAAGCGGGGGCGGCTACACACTGATCACACTTTGGCTGGTCCCTGCTGAACCAACCAAGCGACTGAATTTCAATCAGTGTATGGCTAGTTCAACACAGGTGTTTGTTGGCACACCAAGGTGCCTGCATTTCAGTACTATGACAGTTGTGCCATTTCTATATAGTGGAGGCTTTTTACACAATGGGACTGCAAGCAAAAGGCACAGCAGTGATCAAACGACCCTGTCTGAATGAGGAGATATTCACAAATATGAGCCCTTAAATTCACTTATCAAGCATATCTGCCTCCTGATTGCCCTGGCTTAGTGAGTCAGTGTCCCTAGATTTCGCCACTTGCATGGTAAAGTCTTTTGACAAAGCTCAAGTAAAGCAGCTGGGGGTCAAAATGCAGGACATGGACTTTCAGCTTACAGTATAGTTAAAGGCAAAACTTTTTCATTTTAAATAGTACTGACAGAGTGAAGAAGGATTAGAACACCTGATTTTTATTGCTGCCTGTGTCTCCATTAGGAAGATTTACTCTATTTGGCCTGTGTTATCATCGAGAGTGAAAGTGAAAGAAAATCCTACGTTTTGGGTTGTCAACAGAACAGGAAGTGTGGAAGTCTTCCAATCGGGGCACTAGCTCTTGTGACAACCCCCAGGGATTCCTTCACGTTGAAGGGATTTTCTCTCACTTCCTATTTTGTCTATAGAGAAAGAACTGAAGGGAAATCTCCTCAATGTGACACAGATGGCAAAAGAAGAAAACACCTGAAAGGGGTTAGAACCCTCCCTTAGTTTATCCAAAATGAAAAAGTTTGGCCTTTAGTCCTACTTTAACTAACTGTAATAACAGAGGTATTACAAATGTACATATTTTGGCTGCCGAATTCCCTCTATTCTGTAAGCCTGGATGTACTACATTAATATAAAGACCTGGATCTGACCCCCAGCTATTGTGGTTCCATATTTTTGCCTGATTATTAAAAGTAAAAAAAAAAAAAAACAAAACTCTTTACATGTATAAAATTTACATTTAAAAAGGACATAACCTCACAACCAGCAGCCATAGCAAAAAGCTTCTGTTTACAAAGACTCTTTCTACAACACATTCTGTCAAGCGTTCCTGGAGCAATTACATGTCAGGCTCAGCCACTAATGAGAAGATATGGATAACAATCACACTGTTTCATGGTTCTCAATTCTTCAAATAACAACCTGGAAACCCCAGCACAGAGATATGTATGTATTATCTACTGTTCTCTGATTTGTATGAACTAAAAACAAAACTGCTAATGTTTAGCCCCATTAACATAAAATGTTTAATGGTTGGCGAGGTTACAGCAGCAATAAGCTGCCTTGTGTGAGTTCTGCAGTAACACCTTTTCTGGTCTCATAAAGCAAAACCACGGAGTAGAGAGGGATGTCCCCTGCGAGTGTGGATGAAGGAAGGTGGGGAGTGCAGAAGGAAGGAACAAGCAGATGCCACTTCAGTGGAGGCCCTTGTAAGCATCCAGGTTGAATGCAGTGTCCAGCAATCTCTTCAGTTCTGTGGTGTGGGTTTTCTTGTTGCCAGTGGCGGGAGCAGCTGCAGGTTCTCGTCCAGCATACCTGGAGCATAAAATAAAACCAAGAGGTTTAATAAGACACACACTAATTGCCCATACACAGTGTAGGTTCTCATTTTGGAGGAAAATGCAGTATCTGAATGCCAGTGTGGAACCACTATGAAGTCCATTATATGACTAAGTCTACTTATTTCACTTTAGTATAGAAGCAGCTACTTTATGCATTCAACTAGTGACATTACTGTGCCATGATGGGACTGAATCTGTGGAGTGCTAGATTTCCCTGAGTGCATCAAATATCCTAAATGGGTATGCCGGCAAAAGTAGAAGTTAATCAGGTAGGCTGCATTTCCAGGAGCCAGGGCCACAATTTGGGACATGTTGGTTAAAAATCCAAAAGAAAAGGAAAAAACAACAAAAAAAAAAAAAAAAAAAAAAAAAAAAAAAGGGAAGGGAACATCAGGAACAAATTTTGTTTGCAGCATATGTTTATAGCTGAAGCATTTTGGCAGTTCTAAGGCCCCTCTTTGTGAGGACATGAGCAATGCGCTGAAAATAGAGAAGGATCTGGATGAATAAAAATCACAAAAGGAGCGAGTTTAGGAACAATATGTTGCAGGGAAGGCAGAAAAGACTGCTCCAGTGTAGAGAAAAAAAAAACATGGCTGTCCCAGCATATTAAATTCTCAGCATTTTAAATATTTTTACTGCACATAAGTAAAAATTGTCACCCAACCAACTCCTCCACCCTGCCGATCGCAGATAATTTGGTAAGTCAAACATTTCCACATATGTGCAATAGAAGGATTGAGATGCTGAGATTATGTAGTCGATGCAGCTACAAAATTGTATTGAGATACTGGAGGTGGACAAGACAAGCCTCCAACAGACACTGCAGTCAACATCAGGTTGGAATAGCCTTTTGTGTGGTACATTTTCCTATTTTGGATCCATTCTGCCAAACTGAAATTTTAGCAAAGTCCTAGCCCTAGAAAGCTTGAGGCGAGTTGGATTGTAAACAGATGCGACATATGATGAACTACTACGTTGGCATGCCTCTTTTTATACTATTGGATGACTGTGTCATGGGGCACTTAGCAGAACAGCCATGTTGTGTGCTACTTTGCCCTTCAGTTAACTAGCTTTAACAAAAATCATATGAAGGCAGTCAATTTGTGTGTTGTATGTACAGCCCATCAATTCACAATAAACTAGTGATAATATGATGGTATTTGTCACTTTGCAGTTCAACTATTTTCTGTGCTGTGCTAAAACTTTACTTTGTTAATTAGGATTACTAATACTACTGTAACATTACAACAGTGACATCACTAAGGCAATGTATTCTGCTATAGTGACATCACCAACTCCTGCTACAGTGACACCAAATCCAAAAATTACAAGCATATTTGTTCTCTCTCCCATGCTACAGTTAGTTATATATCTGCTCCTTGTTATATCATAGACTACATCTGTTGAAAGGCTGAGCAAGCACACAAAAGAGCTTTCTTTTCTGTACATGAGTGACAGGTAAACTTTGAGTGAAACTTATAATGTAAAACCTATACAACTATTATAAGTTAAAGCAGGCACGAATTGCTGTCTGCAATTGCATTTTCTTTTTAATATTCCAAACCCAGGGGCACTAAATGTGCAAACTACCCCCATATCTCAATGCAATATGTACACATTATTTACCTATGGTGGGATGGGACCAAGGTTTTTAAAGCTATAAGGTTTAAAATGTGTGTACTGATTGAAGGTTTGTGCCCTGGGGCACTTAGGACAACACTTGGTGATTATGAAGGTTTTACATTACAACACATGCCGTTTATAAATTGGTGAGGCACAGCAGTCCTCTTTAGGCACAGGAAGTCTCTGCACTCACCAGACAGGTTTAGTGCGGTGTATCGTGGTGCGTAATCTTGGCTTTACGTAGTCATAATAACCCTGATTCTTGTGTTCCTCTTGACACCAGGCAATCTCTGCATTAGGATACTTGTTCACTTCCTTCTCCAATAGGTCGAAAGGGAATGGAGACAGCTAGAGAGGTGGAAATTATCAGAAAGTTATACATGGCATTTCAAGGGAAAACAGAGTGAGTTTTTGTAAATTTTTATAGATTCAGAAGTTTATACACTGATGTTTTAGATCTGTTTATGTGTTTCATATATTTTTTTCATTTCTGTAAAATCTGGAATTCCCACCTGTTGATTGTTTCTGCAGGCTGAAAGACTCAACAGGTCACTACTAGCAAAAAGCAAGGCAACTGTGCACCAACTCTAAAGCTGGGTATACAATAGTAGAATTTTGTTTGACATTTTTCATTGTAAGAACAGTCTATTTTTCATTAGTGGGGTCAAATTGATACCCGGTCTTGATTTCAGTGAGGAGAAAATTCAAAGGAGCAAAATAGAAATTATTTCTCAAATGTACAAATTTCTAACAGTGTATGTGGTTTTCATTTGGTAAAGACCATTCATTCCAGAATCGAAAAGAAAACAACCTTTTGAATTTTCGTAGGGATATTTGTACAAATTTTTGTTCTAAAATCTACTATCGTATACCCAGCCTATCAGTCCCTGTTAGTAATTTGATCTCCTGCAATTCATATACACTATACAACCAAAAGTATTGGGACACCCCTCCAAATCATCGGATTCAGGTGTTCCAATAACCTCCATGGCCACAGGTGTATAAAATCAAGCAGTGATACAGACTGCTTCTACAAACATTTGTGAAAGACTAGGTCGCGCTCAGGAGCTCAGTGAAATCGTGAAAAGCGTGGTACTGTGATAGGTTGCCACCTGTGCATCTGTCGATCTGTTAAATTTCCTTGCTACTAAATATTCCATGGTCAACTGTTAGTGGTATTATAACAAAGTGGAATCAACTGGGAACAAAAGCAACTCATCCATGAATTGGCGGGCCACGTAAAATGAGTGGAGTCAGCGAATGCTGAAGCGTACAGTGCACAAAAGTCACCAACTGTCTGCAGAGTCAATAGCTACATACCTCCAAATTTCATGTGGTCTTTAGAGATTAGCACAACGAGTACAGAGGTTCATGGAATGGGTATCCATGGCCGAGCACCAGCATCCAAGCCTTACATCACCAAGTACAGTGCAAAGTGTCGAAAGTAGTGGTGTAAAGTACGCCGCCACTGGACTCTAGAGCAGTGAAGGCATGTTCTCTGAAGTGACAAATCATGTTTCTCTGTCTGGCAATCCGATGGACCTGTCTGGGTTTGGCGGTTGCCAGGAGAACGGTACTTGCCTGACTGCACTGTGCCAAGTGTAAAGTTTGGAGGAGGGGGGATTATGGTGTTGGGTTGTTTTCAGAGGCTTGGCCCCTTAGTTCCAGTGCAGTGAACTCTTAAGTCGTCAGCATACCAAGACATTTTGGACAATTTCATGCTCCCAACTTTGTGGGAACAGTTTGGGGATCCTGTACCAACATGACTGCACATCACTACACAAAGCAAGGTCCATAAAGACATGGATGAGTGAGTTTGGGATGGAGAAACTTGACTGGCCTACACAGAGTCCTGACCTCAACCAGTAGAACACCTTTAAAATGAATTAGAGGAGAGACTACGAGCCAGGCCTTCTCGTCCGATATCAGTGCCTGACCTCACAAATGTGCTTCTGGAAGAATGGTCAAACATTCCCATAGACACTGCTAAACCATGTGGAAAGTCTTCCCAGAAGATATGAAGCTGTTATAGCTGCAAAGGGTGGGCCAACTTAATTTTGAACCCTGCGGACCAAAACTGGGCTGCCCTTAAAGTTCATGTGTGTGTAAAGGCAGGCGTCCCAGTACTTTTGGCAATATAGTGTTCACAACAAAGGCTATTCACTGTATAGCGGTAAGTTGCCTCAGTGAAAACATGCATGAACAGCTTTGTGATTACTACCTAGAAGTGGTAATTCTCAGCAGTGACAGAGGTCGAGAAAGCCTTGAAATGTGAGACTTTGCAAGTGGATGGATAACCAAGCTTGGAAAGTCTTGATGTTGAAGTTGAGGGAGAGAAATGAAAGAGCCGTTTGAGGGTTAGAAGGGAAGAAAGCCTGGCAGTCTACTCCTAAGGCATCTTTCAGTGGAAGATGGGTGCTCTTGCCACCAGTGACATCTTGATAAGAACATCCAGGGCTGAGTGGAAGAAGTGCTGTCCGTCATACAGGTCAAACATTTCTTACAAGAGAACTCCACAGTGCAGCATTTTAAGCCAAAGTGCCCAAGGCATATGCACTGACAGGAGACACATGCAAGAGAGACGATCATCACAATTGAGATTTCACACTACAACAATCTGCTCCATGCATTCAACGAGCAAAAGATCAACAGCAGCAGTGGTTAGATTATGTTTTATGAATCACAACCAACACCAGGTGTAGAGTTCTGGAAAGGGCCTGCAACCACTTACCAGTTGGGTCCTTAAAGTGGTTGTAAAGGCAGAAAGTATTTTACCTCGCTGCATTTTATGCAGTGAAGTAAAAAAACCTTCAGCATGCAGCCTCCTCGAGCAATGTGCACGAGAGCTGAGCTGTCTCGTTCCTCATTATCTCAGTGACAAGGAGCAGGGGGTGGGGCTGAACCCCTTTTTATGTGTGTCTTATGGAGCTGTGACAGGGGACCCCAGAAGAGGAGGATCAGGGTTGCTCTGTGTAAAATCATTGCACACGGCAGGTAAGTATATTAATTAAAAAAAAAAAAAAAAAAAAAAAGCTTTACAATCACTTTAAACCCTTTGAGGACCAAGGGACGTATTTGTCCCATGTTTTTAATTGCGTGTATCATCTGATTAAGAACTTAAAACTCTTTTTTTTTTTGGTTTGAGTAAAAATATTAGTTCTTATCAACAAACAACAAATGGATCTAGCTTTTTGCCAATTATTTCATGAAATGGCTTAATTACAGCAACTGAAGTGTACGAACTTTAAAAACAAAAAAAATTGATTCTTTTGGCGTTCCAAAATCTTACGGTCCTCAAAGGGTTAAAAGCAAGTGCATTTAATACCAATATAGTATTCAATTTAAGGAGGCATGGCCAGATCCACAGTGGAAACGGACCCTCTCTGAACAAAATCAGCACCAAATGAATACAAAGCCAGCAAGCACTGATATAAGCAATGGGCTAATCTTCTAGCTTTAAGATGAGCCAGCACAGACTATTTTTTCTTTTTGGAGTAATAGCAGAAGACTGCAACTCCTCACCATTAAGCACACCTGACAAGGATGTGAACAATCAAAGTCTCAACTCAGAAGCAGGAACGGCTGAAAGGAAATCTGAAACAGAATCTGCTGGAAAGTGAACAGGAGCTCGCTTGTAGCATCTGCAATGTTTAGAGACAGTAAACAACTGGTAATATGGGTCGAAAGGTTCAGCATGACTATAGTAAAAACCTTAGGCAAGAGCACAGAGGACCCAGCCCCAACTGAGGGAGCTATGGAGGACTCAGAGGAGGAGAGAGTCTCTGAAATCAGAAGGTAGCATAGCTTCAGGCTGGGGGGAGGGAGAGAATGTTCACTGCACACAAGTTTTTTACCTTCATGCATAGAATACATGAAGGTAAAAAAACATGAGCTTTTACAATCACTTTAAACTGCAGAGGAATCAGAGTGTATATATCAAGCTGCAAAGGTAGCGGAGGGGGGTGTACTGCCCAAGATGCAATGGAGGTGCCCTGCACCTGAGTACAATGCCCATGATTGTGGCGCACTTGTTCGAGATTAACGGGTTAAAAAAAGGCGACGAGGAGGGGATATAATGCCTCCTCACCCCCTGTCAAACGTCCTGATCTGAGCACACAACACTCTTTGGAGGGCACGATACACAAAACAGCAAGCACTAAGTCAGTCTTCAGAGACAAGCCAAGTTCATAGGCAATGAATGGATGTTGTATGGTTTAAAGACCAGGACTGAGGACAAATCAGACAATCTCCAGTTGCAGTGTAAAGAGGAGTTTTGATGGAAGAAAACTGCTAGAAAAATCATGTTCATCTTTAGAACAGTGGAGGTAAGGAAATTACATCCATGATACTAGGACACTAGCAAAAAACTGAGGAATACTGTCAGTAAGAGGTTATACCTTGGGTTGGCCTACTGTTTGTTTGCCAATGTTCAGTTCTCCTGTGGAAGGCAGTATAACTCAAAGGCGAGTAAATTACTTGTCCCACAATGGATAGGAAAGTAAAGTACATTGAGACACTTTTTTTCTCCATGTAATTAGATGGGAAAAAGAACTTTGGATGTTTTATTTCCAATATCTGGTTTAAATATCCACTGGTTAATAAAACACATGAGAAGAGCATATGTGTAACATAAAAGTAGAGTACAAATAAAAACAGCCCTCTTTGAGAAAGATAGGTGCTTATATTAAAATGAGTCATACAAAGCACTGTGATGCTATGTCTTCTGGGAATCTGATTGATGTCAGTCATAGGAAGATTGCAGGCTTAGGGTGGAAGGTTACCATCTTAATCAACATTAACTATTTTTAATTCTTATGCTGCTAGCATTAGTAAACAGATAGGAAAGTATATTACATTAACCTGTTTTAAACCTTTTTATTTTTATTTTTTTAACATTTCTTAAGTTATTTCCTGGTTTCCAGGCCTAGGTAAATCATATCATACATCCCAGGTGCCTTTAGGAGGAGGGGCTTTCTCAGCTAAGCACACACTCCTTCCTCCATGGACTCCAAGAAGTAAATGCTACATGAATCATCTGCCATAACTCAACATTTTGACATACCTTCAGGGAAGGGTGCAATGCCCTGAATGCCCACTGTCTGAGATCGGAGCATTGTACTAATCTCCATACCGCTGTCAAACTCGGATCAGCAAGTGAGTCTCTACAGCCATTGCGTCTCCATTAACTTCCACTGGCTGACCATAGGCAGCACAATGCTCCAGACGCATAAAACAATGGGCATTGCATGCCGAACAGACCCCTGTGCCTGTGTCAATGAGCCCTAAGACTTTATGGGGAGGACTTAAACTGTAGAATTCGGATTCAGGATGCAATTACTATAACGAGTGGATCCATTAACAACAAACCATATATAGATCAAGGTAAACAGGTGACATTGTAACCATAAGTATTACCGTAGATCTCTCAATGGAAAACTTTCCTTGTTGGAATGACTATCATCAGTTTTAAAGATCTGATTTTAGGAGATGCAAGTGTTTCATTTATATTATTGAAACTCTAGGAATTAAATTATTTGGGGTTTGGAGTGTGATGGATTTAAACACGCCATATAGGTGAGCATTTTTCATTATCTTGTACATTTTTATTTTTATCATGGAGTTCTGAAGTGAGGAGAAAAACACAGACACAGAAGCCCAAACAGAAGGGAAGGCTCATTAACACCATAACACCAGCACTGGTGCATAATGTGAATGTGCTGGCATGCTTTTTTAACTCAAGCTGCAATGCATTTTTAAAGCTAAAGTCCAGGAATTAAAAAAAAAATAAAAATAATACTCTTGCTGTGTGAATCTCTGCACTGCAAGAGTTTAAATGCTCATTAAATTTAGGGGATGAAGAATAAGATGTATTACTTTACTTCTTGTGTCCTGAAGCTCTTCTCTGCATCCGCTCAAGTGTAGTCCCTCTACAGCTCATTTACAAATCAGGGCTTCCTTTGTAGTGCTGCACCATATGGTACACAATTTATGACATATATTCTTTTGAGGTAAAGGATTTGGGTGCTAGCAGCTTTGCTATGGTAGAGTTCATTCATTTAGTGCAGGAGGAACCACTACACCAATTACTTTTTGTAAGGGTAATTTTTTTGGTAATTCCCATTGTTGAGTACAGTTTTACCATCTGCAGCACATGGAGATGCATCGCAGTGTGTTGGATATGCACTATGCAAAAATCCTACAGGTACTTTTTTTTCCCTCCCCAGTGTACACCAACAAAGTGTGCTGTATGGACTGAAGCCATAGGGCATAAGGCTATTTGCCCTGTCCTTCCTCTAAAATTGCTTTGGCAATGCAGTCCAACAATGATAGTGTGAATGAGCCCTAACACCAAATAATCATTTCAGAAACGCGCTCTCACCTGCTCCACACGAGTAATAGCCACTTCAGACTCCATTCCTCTGGTGCTGCGCTCTTTGGTCAGTTCATAATATATTTTGCCTGTGCAGAAGACCACACGTTTCACCCCAGTGGGGTTTTGGGAAGCAGGTCCGGCATCTGGGATTATTCTTTCAAAGTGAGTGCCTTCAGTAAAAGAGTAGAGAACACATTGCTAAAGGCTACTGCTACAGGATTTCTGAACAAAGTCAGTTTTGCAGTGGAAAAATATTACTTTCACTATTTCACCTTGGTTTCAAAGATGCACTCCACCTACATTTGATATTTCAGTTATATGTCGCTGATGACAAACTGAATTACATGATGAATACTTATCTCTCTTAATGACGAAGCATTGCTTGCCCAAACTTTTAGTTTTCCCACCTGCTGTAGCTAGTGTAAAGCCAAGAAGTTGGGTCACGCTACCCTGTTAGATTTCACATAATGTTTAATACCAGGGGACTCCAGCTGTGAGATTGTGATGTAATTTTAGCTTTGTGGATGAGGGTGGAAACACAAATAGCTGCAAGTAGTTTCAAAGCTAGAATGAAATTCAGAAATGTTCTGGTCCCCACCAAAATCTAAAATGGAGTTTGTGGAGGAGTTAGGTTTAAAAGGCTTCTGGTCTAGTAATATTAAATAAATTACTGTATTTATGTTACTAATTTCATTAATGATCCTTTTAAATCTGCCTAGCAGATTTACAGTCATGAGTGTACATCAAGAGCAGTCATTGATATCACTGGGCCACTGCTATTTAAGTGGCCATAGACAAGTAAACGTCCCACAGATACTGCATGTCCATCCCATAAACTGTGCTGTACAGAAACTGTTACAAATTTTTGGGCAATTCCAGTTCAACACAAAAAGAAAAAGATCATCTTTAGTTAAGTTATCTGAAAAGAATGTGCATTAAAGTATATCTGAACCCTTACCTTGTAAAACAACCCAATAAATTTAAAATAGAAATGCAAGGCAAAACATTTGTATATATAAAAACATTATTAATTCCTTTCTTCTTCTTTTTTTTTTTTTAATAAGTGATCACATAATTTCTTGTTTTCAGTTGCATTAGGGTCTTGGAAAGGTGTGGGTGGAGAAACAGTGAATGGCTGTGCAGAGGGGCATGTCAGCACAAGACTTGGCATTGGGAAACAAGCAGGCTGTGCTACCAGCACAGCCAGAAAACTGACCACGATGCAATGGATGTGCTTTCCTGCCTATCATGGTCAGTTTACAATAGGAAGTCAAGGGGCCTAGCAGGATGACCAGGAATTTCACACAAAGGAAGCAATGCAAAAAGAACAGGATACATTTTAATACAAGTAAACAGTTCAACAGACACATATCAGAAAAATGAAATGTTGGGGTAACATGTTCTTTAATACTGCTGCCTGATTAGACTGACTGACTAGGGTTGGGCCTGTGAACTGCAAAAACTAGGCGGTGCTTTATCGACTGTAGAAGGGATGACTTCATTGAGTAAAAGCTGTACTGTTTTCTGGCTTTAACAAGCCATAACCAGTCAGTAAGAAAAAAAAGTGATAGGTTTGAGAACAAAGGCTTCCTGTGATTAGGTCTTCATTGGAACTGCATCTAATTAAAGATGAATTGCACTCAAACAGCTAATTACACACATGAAATACATATGATGGAGCCATTTTACATGCCAAAGAATTTCTGTCTATGCAACCGAGATTTACACAGCTCCATCAAACATCTGACTGGCTTCCACTCCAGCCCTTCCCCTCCTAATCTGAGTGCTGCTGTACAGGAAATTGCAAGAGGCTAATACCAAGCCTCCCTGGAGTTTAGCTTAAATAATATTTTGATACTACCAGAAAATATATTGTTCATTTATTACCTAGTGAAGCAGTGGACCAAACAGTGTCAAATACAGACAGTAGCCTTCTAAATATATGTAACAATTGTACCTGCATCCATTTCACCAGGGTTAAGCACCACTTGGCTTCTATGAATGAATGCACTATACAAGCTATACAGACGTGTCTTTAACCAGTCAGTGCAAGCCTTGGTAGTGACATTTGCTCATTTGATTTCACCAGTGCTCAGCAAGGTGAAGAAAGCAGGTCAGCAGAGTAACCCTTTTGGCTGACATCAGTGCCCATAACCAATATTCCATCACTACATATCACTGATCTATATGTCATGTCTATAATCAAATCATAATACATGTGGAGCAGGTGTAGATGGTAACTTAAAGAGGCCTAATTTTGAATACCATGTCATGAGTTTAGATTTAATTCTGCTGTTAATATGATGCATGCTTCTAATGTATTCTGTAATGGTTAGATATTCAATGTCTTTATTGTTCTATTGCTTGTTGCTTGTAAATACTAATACAAATTGCCTTTAAAAAAAACTCCAAAACTTGCAGCAGAGGATAAGTACTTGGTCCTGGGTACCTTTAGCAGCAATCTGACCACTTCTTAAAACTTTAATTTCCTGTCTGTACTAGCCCATGCTCCTTCCTATACCCCTGCTGCAATATATGTACTCTATGTAGCAGATTATCAGGAGCCTGCACAGTTACATGTTGGCAATGGTAGGACTTCAGAGGAGATCAGTGATTTGTTACCTGTGCACCCATAAAAGAAGTGCTAGCTCGAGAAAAGTCATTAATGCACACAAAGGTAACCTAAGCAGAAGTTGACTGTGATATATGCAGAATGGAGGAGGTGTTACTGCTGGCACTATTCAGTATTCTGCTGTATGCCAGTTCCTACTATCAGCCTCTCTGCCCTGTCCTCAGATAAATGAAAAGTTGCTCAGTGAGCCTTAAAACCTGAATAAATCAGACACAGATATACTAAACTTTGATCTGACAGCTCTGAGTCTGCTGATGTCACATCAGGGTTGGTGGCACCTGGCAGCAGTCTCAGGCCTATTCAATGTGATGACATCATCAATAATTTTAAAGATATTAAATGCACAAAACAAGATAATTTGACATATACCTGACAGATAAAGCTTTCATAACCTAAAAGATGCAGCTTTTCATGCCATCACTTCTTAAAGCTGATCCCCATCCGGTTTTTATAGGTTATGTGCATGTTGTTAGACAGGCAGCTACATTCTAATTATTAGATTACTGCCTCCTATACTGGCAAAGATCAACATATACTGTATATTCTAAGTGATCACTTGGCACCTTTGTGTTATCTTGGATAAAAGCTGGAATTCCTCCATAACATTAAAGAGAGCTATCAAACTGCATCTTAAATGCAGTTTTAATTGTGTTTTAAAACATATGGTTGAGATTGTCATGGTAAGTGGTTTCTGAGACGATTTTACGATGCTGAAAATAAAATAGGTCGTCATCCCTCTTTACCTGCCAGCATGTCATCAAAACTTGACCTTGCTTCAGGGTGACGAAGAAGAGACTTTGGAGTGAAGACAATCAGCTGTATGGTGGAAAAATATATAAAGGATCAGAAGCAGGATTATTTAAAAAATACAGCAACATCACACAACTTAGTAGCCTACTGCTAAACCTTTATTTTTTTATTTTTATTTTTTTTTTATAAAGATCCTTTAAATCTAGAATAAAATATCCACACAATTTTATGCTCTTCTTTGTTAAATGCACAAAATGTAAACTGGTTAATGATCATTTTTCAATGATAATGCAAGTTCCCCTTGTTTACCCCCCCCCCCCCAAATTATCATATAAAGTGCTGTTTATAACACCGGACTGCACCTGAGCGTGGCAGAAAAGGAGGCATTACAAAGATACAGGTGAAAGGTGCAATGTGCAAAGGTTTTATAGACAGTGGCTAGTGGGCAACATGTGGGTTAAATGGTTAACGCTCATGTCTTGCAACTCAAAGGTCTTGTATTTTGTTCACAGGATACCTAATCTGTATGTTCTCCGTGTTAGTAAGGCCAGATCCATACTATGTGTTGCGTAATGCAATACGTTTCTGTGCATTAAGGCATGCTGTGCAAAGGCAGGCCATCCATTTTGAATGGGCTACCTGTTTTAGATACAAGTCACATAAGGCCAGGGAGTCGGTCTTGTGGCACCAGAGCTTTTTGCCCTCTGTGTATTTGAAATCATATCTTTACATTTTTATTTCCTTTGGGATGTTGGTACGGTGTAGGTCTGATTTTCATACATTTAACTGACAAGGTGTTAACCAGCTCACCGGTTTACGGAAAGGTAGTAAGATCTGTCTGCGGAGAACGTGGAAAAAATTGGCAGGAGTGGAGCAATTCACAACAATCCAGTTGCAGTCATAAAGCTGGCGGACAGCAAAATCGTCGGAACTTTTCTGTGTCGGGTAGAAAAAAAACCCCTATGAATTTAACTTTGATTCCATATGCATTTCAAAAGCTCAATAAAATTTCAATATACAGCCTTACATAAAAGACGACTTGTAAAATATAAGTATTGTGTTGTTCAGTAGGATTGAAAGCAGTTGTGAGGTGGTGCAACAACCTGTAACAGCTAATAGACTTAAAGTGATATTAAAGGCAATTTAAAAAAAAAAAAAAAAAAAAAAACCCCAAACATGTCATATATAGCTACTCTGTGCAATGGTTTTGCAGAGAGCAGCCCCGATCCTCCTCTTCTCAGGTCCCCAGCTAATACTCCTGGCCTCTCCCTCCTTCTGAGTGCCCCCAGAGTAAGCAGCTTGCTATGGGGGCTCCTGAGCCACTGCTCTGCGTGTCCATGCATAGAATGCATGAAGGCAAAAAACCTTGAGCCTTTACAACCACTTTAAATGAGTACAGAGAGAGTACTCCCAGCTGAATCCTGGCTGTAGTCTGTTTTGAAGATCATATTTTCAGTAGTGTGGCTCACACAGTAAACTCAACAGCCAAATGTCAGCAGTGTCCTGCATTATTCAATATCCCACCTAAATCCACCAGAAACCATCAATCCCACATCTAACTGGTGTAATATAGGAAGCCCTTTTCATGCTTCTTTACTTAATGTGATCTAAGGACCCACGTACTGTGTTTGCAGGAGAGTGCATAACCTCATCATCTGTTTTCCTGTAATAGTAACACAGGAAGTGGCTTTCTGTCTTTTTTCTCAGAACACATTAACACTCACCATACCAATATATTACAATTCCCATTCCTCAAGAAATTTTAAAACAGATATTGGCCCAAGTTATTAATGAGAAAGACTTACAGGCCACTCATCTGGATCATCATTGCACATCTGAAGGAATCGTTCAGGTCTAGCAGAGGAATGTTCTGGACCCTAAGACAGACAAGGAGAGAGTTCTAAATATACACTTTACAATCAATAGACAATAAGCTCTGCAAAAGGAAAAAAAAATCTAAAATGATAAATCAATATTGACACTGCTTTGACAAGTATGTTGTTCTTACCATGCCCTCCATGCCATGTGGTAGCAGCAATACGATTCCATTCTGTCGTACCCACTTGGCCTGTCCTGGGCAGATGAACTGATCGATGATACACTGAGCAGTGTTATGAAAGTCTCCGAACTGGGCTTCCCAAAGTACCAGTGCATTGGGGCTTGCCATAGCAAAGCCAAGCTCAAATCCTAAAGGGAAAGACCAGAAATGTGAGATCAAAGAGGACATCTAGATTTACCAACATAAAGAACATATTGCTGAAGCTATTCAGCCTTTATATACAAAGTCCAAATTTCATGATACCTAATCTGTACAGATCCAGCCCATCACTGGTACCTGTGTATGCTTCCCAGATCCCTTACTCTAGAACCCCTTAACAAATTACTTAATAAAATGGTTTAACGTTCATGCCCAATCCTTGTAATACTACTATAAGGCTGACATTCAATGTACTCTTTTTAACTGCCTGTCAATGTATTGTTGTTATTGCCATTTAAAAAAAGGAAACTACTAAGGTTTTTTTTCCCATGTACTGGCCTGTGTATAATTAATTAGGGGGGTTCCATCTCTGCTAGGGGTGTCCCTCCTTTAAGATATTCAGGCCTATTTATATAGTGCCAATATATACAGCTCCCAACTGCTGGCTACACAAACTTTATTCCATATTTACTAGGAAAAAAACCTAACCAAGAAAACACTTAAAAAAAATACTACGCATCTCATTCACACTAGCCACAGTCATGTGGTATGAACATGTTTGTGAGCTGTGGTGCCATTTATTTGGTATGTACAGCAATGCACCCACATTACATTGAAGTCCGTATATTGCAGTGCACTGCAAAAAATGCAGCAGGGCTGATAGTTTTGTGCATTCAAGTGTGTTACGGCCAATTCACTTTGAATGGGATATCCAACTTAATGTGACTCAATACACACAACAGTATGTGTGGTGGCGCAGTGCATCCTGATGTAAATGGGTCCTTAAACATAACACTTTAGATCTGAAACTCTTTTTGTTTTAGGTTCTAATAGGGCTCTTCATATACAGTATCAAAAAGTACAACCTGTTTAGTGCTGGTTCACATATATGCAGATTGGATGCGGTTTGAACTTATGGTGCCTGTTCACATACACTATAATGCCAAAGGTATTGGGACACCCCAAATCATTGGATTCAGGTATTCCAATCACCTCCATGGCCACAAGTGTATAAAATCATGCACCTAGGTATGCAGACTGCTTCTACAAACATTTGTGAAAGAATGGGTCGCTCTCAGGAGCTCAGTGAATTGAAGTTTGGTACCGTGATAGGCTGTCAACCGTGCAATAAATCCATACGTATAGTTTTCTTGTTACTAAATATTCCATGGGCAACTGTTAGTGGTATTATAACAAAGTGGAAGCAACTGGGAACAACAGCAACTCAGCCACAAAGTGGTAGGCCACGTAAAATGACAGAGTGGAGTCAGCGTATGCTAAAGAGCACAGTGCAGAGAAGTCGCCAACTGTCTGCAGAGCCAATAGCAAAAGATCTCCAAACTTCACGTGGCCTTCAGATTAGCACAACAGTGCACAGAGAGCTTCATGGAATGGGTTTTGATGGCCGAGCAGCTGCATCCAAGCCTTATATATCACCAAGTGCAATGCAAAGCGTCGGATGTAGTGGTGTAAAGCATGCTGCCACTGGACTCTAGAGCAGCAGAGACGTATTCCCTGGAGTGAAAAATCACACTTCTCTGTCTATCAATCCGATGTACGTGTCTGTGTTTGGCAGTTTCCAGGTGAACGGCACTTGCCTGACTGCATTGTGCCAAGTGTAAAGTTTGGTGGAGGGGGGATTATGGTGTGGGGTTGTTCTTCAGGGGTTGGGCTTTGCCCCTTAGTTCCAGTGAAGGGAACTCTTAAGGTATCAGCATACCAAGACATTTTGGACAATTTCATGCTCCCAACTTTGTGGGAACAGTTTGGGGATGGCCCCTTCCTGTTCCAACACAACTGCGCACCAGTGCATAAAGCAAAGTTCATAAAGACATAGATAAGCAAGTTTGGGGTGGAGAAACTTGACTGGCCTGCACCTCACCCCAATACAACACCTCTGGGATGAATTGAGTGGAGATTTCGAGCCAGACCTTCTCATCCGACATCAGTGCCTGACCTCAAAAACGCGCTTCTGGAAGAATGATCAAACATTCCCATGGACACACTCCTAAACCTTGTGGACAGCCTTCTCAGAAGAGTTGAAGCTGTTACAGCTGCAAAGGGTGGGCCAACTCAATATTAAACCCTACAGACCAAGACTGGGATGCCACCAAAGTTCATGTGCGTGTAAAGGCAGGCATCCCAATACTTTTAGCGATATAGTGTATGTCCGGTGCACTGGCGGTGTGGATTCAGTGCGGTCTGAAAAACGATTTCTAAGCAGTACCTTCAGGTTCAGATGCGGATTACAGTATATTGACTTCTATGGGAACCGTTTCTAAACCACATATGTGTGAACAAGATAAAATCCTAAACTAATCCTGTCCTGAACCTGATGTAAACCTGACATGAACCTGTGAACAACTACTGTATCAATTAGCTGAGAAACCTGAGCCTCAATCCGCACCGCACATATGTGAATTAGTAACAATTTGTTTTTCATTTCTGAAGTGAAGACATTTGCTAATGCATAAATTAGTTGACCACTTAGACCTAGACATAACAAAATACTCTGTGCCTGGGCCCACACTGTTTAAGCTGCAAATTTACTCTCCTCCTTAGCTATGGTACACATTCTTATTCCACATGCAGATGACTACAGGGGATCAGAGGAGTGGTTCTTATTTTTGAAGTCCCATAAGGCTTATTTTACCAGTTCAGGAATACACCGCAACTCCCCCCCTTTTTCAATCCAGTTTACAGACTTGCCACATTCCTAACCTGCCTTGCTGCAAAAAAAGCATCATGCCCACTCACCCCTCCTTAACACTGATCCATGATACTTATGGGCCAGTTCACAATGTAAAGTGGATATCGCTTCTTACATTTCTTTATACACATACAGGTTATGCACATTACGGCCAGCATTTTACAGCTTAATTATTGTGCTCTGCCAGCTGCAAACTCCCAAAACCAGCTGAGTGTAATGCACGTTTATAAAGTAAAACTGCTGTACTTCATAAATGTGCAGCATTTTGTTTTTAAAGGGGTATGTCTGCAGTATGCCCACCCTGCTTCTTTTAAAAGGTATGCCTTAGTGTATCTTTGCACAGATAAACACTGCAAACCCAGCAGAACTAATACAGAATGATTGTAAACATCAGCCTCTCACACTCACCTAGTACTCCATATTCAGACAGCGAGCTGTTGCACACTGTATATGGAGCTTGGTTAGGCCACAGATAGTTCATGGGAATACACGTTCTCTTGTCTACATTTTGGTCATGTAAAACATGATGACGGTGGCTGTAGAAATGAAGAATGAACAGAATTTGTTAATAAATTGTACTACAGATTTCACCCGAATAAACTTTACACAATAGAAACAGACTGCCACAGTACCTAAAAGTGCCTCTCTCTACATCTTGCCCACTGAGGCGGATGTGAATGCCTTCTTTCAAGAGTGACCCAAATGCCATATACTCAGCCAGAGCCCAGTCAACAGTTCGGTTCTTCACCATCTCCCCTCGACCTTTCAAGACGCGGCTCAGACCTAATAGGGGAATACCGTTGGTGTTCATGTGATTAAGACTGATTAAAGCTGAAAACTGTCAGATATACTGTAAAAGAAAGGTCTTCACCTCCATGAATAGTAAAGTCCTCTACAGGGACTGAGCTGGCCACATTTCCAATGTGTGAGAGATCTTCCTCACTGAGACCGGTGGAGGGGCAGGACATGCTGCGTGGTTGACCATCCAGAGTGAAGAAACCTGCAAAAGTGGCAGATCATAATGCAACAAATCCATCAAAAATGTTTCATAAATCAGTGTGTACCTGGGGTGGCCAAGAGTGGCTTGATAGCTAGTCCTAGCCCAAGCCTTCCTTGTAAAATGAAGAGAATACCATGCAACAAATGAATCTGTGTAAACAATAGGACCACTTACATTTATGTGGGTGGCACAGTGGCTTAGTAGTTAGCACGTCTGCCTTGCAGTAAATGGGTCATGGGTTCGATTCCCGACCACGGCGCCTCCTGCATGGAGTTTGCAAGTTCTCCCTGTGCTTGCGTGGGTTTCCTCCGGGTGCTCCGGTTTCCTCCCACACTCCAAAGACATGCTGGTAGGTTACCTGGATCCTGTCTAAATTGGCCCTAATATGTGTATGTATGAATGTAAGTTAGGGACCTTAGATTGTACACCCCTTGAGGGTTAGGGACTGATGTGAATGTACAATATATATGTGTAAAGAGCTGCGTAAAATTGACAGCGCTATATAAGTACCTGAAATAAATACATTTATGAGAACTGGTGTAAATGGAGGAGATGACACAGCCAGACTGTAGCGGTGGTGAAGGGCGTAAGAGAACTCAATAACTGGTGAGATTCTTTGTAATTTATACTTCTATTATCCATTAACTCTGTGCGCTCATAGGTCTGAGTTTAGCCCTTTTCCTCACACCATTTACTTACCTGCTGTCGTGTGGGCACTAGTATCTGTGGTTGGTTCTCTTACGCCCTCTACCACTTTACTCCTGCTACAGTCTGGCTGTGTCATCTCCTTCGTTTACACCAGTCATGAGTAGCAAAAAATAGTTCATATCCCTACATATTAATGCATGACCCACAAATGCATTGAGAGCTCACACCCTCCCAAAAGTTCAAAGTGTAGAAAGGATTCTCTTTTCAGCTTTTGTACTCGGTTTATGTTAATATTCAAACTATTATTATGAGTGATAGGAGGCTGTGACTTGGGAGTCTAGTGTAACCTAGGTGTTTGACACAAATATTTAGATGTTTTAACTATGTAGTCAATAAAAATGCATAGATTTTAATACTATTGGTATCTATTCCTGAAGACTTTATTCTTGTACCTTAAAAATCCCAGTTTTGGTTTTTGTGTTTTTTTTCCTAATATTTGTTGGGGATGTGGTGCATGGCTCACACTACTAGAGATATCAAAGGTTGCATGAAGAATTGTAACAAAGTCAATACCAGGCCATGGGGAATCCAGCCAGTGCTTGATGTGAAGAATCTTTTCATCTTTGGAACGGTTTAAGGCCTCCTCACAGATCTTGTCATATTTTGCAATCTCCTCCTGTAAGACACAAGTTTTATTACATGTTTCTATTGCACCTCTGATATAACCATTTGCTCCTCACTCTAAGACAACTATTAATGTATATTCTAAACAGACCATACCTCATACTCCAGCTGGTTGACTACACCTTGCGATATCAGAGTTTCAGCATATTTTTGTAGTACGGGCTTCTGTTTTCGGATCTGCTTATACATCAGTGGCTGTGTAAACATAGGCTCGTCCATCTCATTGTGTCCATTCCTACGGTAGCAGACCTGAACATAGGAGGCAATAATTATGAGGTTGAGAATTGCTAAAAGAAAAGCTCTGACACCTCTGACTGGTTATTTTGCTTTTTAATAGGGCTAAGTGACAGGAAAACTTTGTGTTTAGTAGAGGAGGTATCCTAATGTTTTGTCAAGCACAACATGGGAATGCTCAGAGTGCCAGAACAGCCAGATATCATGTAACATATGTGTTGCTACTCCCAGAGGTCCCCAGAACACGGAGAAGACATTTTAAAATACATTAAATATGAAGACTTTTACTATGATCAGTGTACAATAAACATTTCCTAGAAATCTTCAGCCATTTCCCATAACAGAGAGCCTAATAAAGCAAATTATATGAATAACAGTGCACACCTCACATTAACAAGATAAAATACACAATCATTAAAGCCATAAAAGTTACACCACTCATTCAAGACATACAGCAAAGTCACCCTGCAGTGCTGAAATCCAGAGCACAAACTGTAAAGCACAGACCAGTGTTACTGTAACACTGCATACATGCTGTTTTTCATATATACAACCTTAGCTGATCATAGTTCATAAATTTCTAGGGCAGGGGGTCTCTAAACGTTTTAAACAAAAGGGCCAGATTATTGCCCTTCAAACTTTAGGGGAGCTAGGCTGTGACCAGCAGGAGTGGAAAATGCCACAACATCAGTGGGGGTAAAATAATTAAATAGTGACTGTGATCGGTAGGAGGAAAAATACTGGCCCATCGTTGGTGTCCGTGAAATAACAGCTATCACATCATAGGTGTCAGTGGAATGAATAGTGTCCCATTGTTTGGGGTCAGCGGAATGAACAGTGCCCCATCATTGGTGTCCGTGGAATGAATAGTGCCCCATCGTTGGTGTAGGTGGAATGAATAGTGCACCATCAATGGTATACATGCGGGGAGATTATGCCCCACCATTAGTGTCAGTGGAAGGAAAAATACCCTATTATTGGAATCAGTGGAAGGACTGGTGTCCCATCACTTGTATCTGTGTAAAGAATAGTGCCTCATTTTTGGTGTCAGTGGGAGCAATAGTGCCCCAAAAGGCCAACAAAGGCAAGCAAAGGGCAGCATTCGGCCTGTGGGCTGAAATTTGGAGACCACTGGTCTAGGGAATCAATGCATATAGGTACAGAAAAAAAGAGTCTTAAAAACCTTGCAAGGAAACACAGCCTCCATGTCCAGGGATTTTTATTTTCATTGAGGCAGGCATCAAGGATAGCTGTAGCACATTACGGTAGGCTAAAAAACTGCCTTGTTATTGGAAATCTGATGTACCTGAACACTGACTTTAAAAGACAAGGGTACATTAATAGGGGTCCCACTACTACATGAATTTCTGTCCCCGGAATGCGAGAGCCTCAAGGTAATGTCTTCCAAGCACTGTTCTCATTATCACACCCTTTTCCTGTCCCACACAAATTCTTACCAGCCTCTTCCTCATCCTAACTTCTATACTGCCAAGAAAGGTGTGCAGTCAATGCCACTAAACCACAACTGCCCCAGGTTGGATAACCAGCAGCACAAGTAGCACAAATAGGATTGCAGAGAATAGTGGTTCTAATAATGGGCTTAGACCACTGCAGATGCCTGTAAGATCTATACATACCAAGTCCACCACCACATCCTTGTGAAAGGTAGCCCTCCACTCTGCAGCCACATTACACACATACACAACAGCCTCTGGGTCATCTGCGTTGACATGGAAAATTGGAGCATTGACCACCCTAGCAACATCAGTAGGATATGGAGATGAGCGTGCCATTCGAGGATCAGTTGTGAAACCAATCTGAAAACAAATGTATATTATTAAGTTAGAAATGGAGCAGTACAACTGTATATAACATGACATAACTGTATATAACATGACATACGTGATAACGTAAAATTTGGGACACTATTCCTCCAATGATGAGGCACCATTCCTCCCACTGCCACCATTAATGGGGCACTATTCCTCTTGCTAAGACCAGTGATGGGGCACTATTCTTCCCACTGACACAGTCGATTGGGTACTATTCCTCCCATTGATACCAGCCATGGGGCACTATTCCTCCTGCTAAAGCCAACAATAGGGCACTATTCCTCCTGTTAAAACCAATGATGGGGCAGTGTTTACTCCCACTGATGCCGAGACATTTTCTACTCACACTGGCCACAGTCCGGTCCCCCTAAATCCTGAAGAATAGTAAACTGGCCCTTTGTTTAAAAAGTTTGTAGACCCCTGGTCTGCAGGAATGGCATCTAAACTAAGCAAAATTTTTCTGAGCTGCACAGTATTTAAATCTATTATACAGCCCACTCTGCACTACTGGTATGCCCCTTCCCACAACAAATATGTGAGTGTATACTGATCTTAAACACTAACTCCAAGAGTAATAAATGTGATAATTGAATGAAAATCAAAGTTATAATCTGTGATATTAAAAATTGCCTTATGACAAATATTAATAAATTCATGTTAACCTTGAAGATATACAGTACTAAAAACCCCATAGGAATACTTATAAAAAAGTTTTAAATATATCTCAAAACACAACGGGGTAGATTTACTAAAACTGGTGCACTCAGAATCTGGTGCAGCTGTGCATGGCAGCCAATCAGCTTCTAATTTCAGCTTGTTTCATTAAGCCTTGGCAATAAAACCTGGAAGATGATTGGTTTCTATGCAGAGTTGCACCAGATTTTGCACATTTCAGTTTTAGTTAATAACCCCCAGCAAGTCTCTAAGACGCAAATGTGAAAAACATTACAACACACGTATATGTGTGTATGTGTATATCCAACACTGAATTACAAGAATATTCAGTCTAAAATAAAAATCCAAACTCAACAGATGTGAATAATAAATCTTCTATAGCCACTTGTGCAAGACAAATAAGAAATCCTTTTCCACAAGGATGGGTAGAGAGCACGAAGTGTAGCCCGCTACTGCTTATATGGACATACACTCACTGATATTTATTGCCAGGCTCTCTAAAGTATAGCAAACATGAACATCCCAGGGATGAGCTCAACCCCACAGCTGTCGGATCCTCCCTGTAGCTCTTATATATACTTTGGATGAAATATGTCATGCTCCCCAGACAATATTCAAATACAGCAAGAACATCCACAGAGTGTTTGAAGAGAGAGAGAGTAGGATGCTGGGGACAAGCACTCAATGTATGTTGAGTCCTATCTTCTAGCCAGAATAGGGATTAGAGCTTACAGTGTAAGTTTTTTGGCCAGGCTTTGGGGATGCAGCTCACGGCCTGCAGGTATGGCATCTAGTCTAAGCAAAAATGTTCTAAGCCGCACAGTGTTTAACCTACTTGGGGCCTTTGACTACAAAGTCAATTTTACGTAAAAAGGTGAACATATGACCCATGGTTAAGAATTTATAAAAAAAACACAAAGATACATACCTGGTTGTTAGCCACCACATGGACAGTGCCGTGTGTTGTGTAAGATGGAAGGTCACTCAAGTGGAAGGTCTCATACACAATTCCTTGTCCTGCAAAAGCAGCATCACCATGTAACAGGATAGACATGACCTGTATTCGTACAAAAAGTAAACAAAGTAAGCAAAACGTCTATCAGAAAATCCTCGCTCCTTCTCATATTTGGTCATTGCTCATCACCTTTTTTCCCTCTCTGTGTCTCCACAGTAGAACTGTTCAGCTTTGGTTTTGCCCTGGACAACAGGGTCTGCTGCTTCAAGATGGGAAGGATTTGCTACCAAAGACAGAGTGATGTTCCTGTCAGTTACTCTGTTTATCCTCCTGTGGTACATTCCCAAGTGGTATTTAACATCTCCAGAACCCTACACATAGTAGAGACGAGTAAATGGGACCTTGTTAGTCTAACATTCCTGGAAACAAAAGTATTTTCACAATCCTCAATAAGAGTCACTATCTGTAAAGAGAACCAGTCAGATTTTTTTTTCTTACAAACACCCTTCATAAGAGGATAATTTAAATTATATTGGAAATTAAGTCTCCTTTGTGTGCCATGCAATTTACTTTGTTGCTGATGTCTGACTTCATTAGCCAGGAGGCCTTTTCTGTGAACCACATAATTTTCTTTGTTACTTGTGTCTGACTTTCCCCAACTTCTGAGCTAAGCCTTGCCCAATCACCATCCCCATGTCCAATAAGGGTGCATCAGTGGTCAGTAAGGGTTATCTTATTGGACCAGGGAATGGCAATAATATGACTTAATTCCAGAAGTCAGGCCCCAATAACAAAGTGAAACTAAATAAAAGAAGCACAGAAGAGGCTACACAGTGCAACAAAGGTAAAGAAAGGCATCCACTGATGTCTGCATTAAAGAAGGAATTTTACTTTTCAACTTGAAAAATTCTAAAGATGTGCTCTAAAAAAGCAGAGAAAATTAGAAATACGTACCTCATCTGCAGCTTCAAGTTTGGAGTCAAACTGACAGAAAATTTGTTCCAGCTCCTTCCTGATCACATTGGCCAATACATTAAGACGACCTCTGAGAGACAGATAGGAAATGTTACTATACCGCATCACACATTACTATAAATCTTCATGTTCATCATTCTACAGACACAAGAAAATCAGGAAGAGTGAAGAACAGAATAATTTTAAAGTCTTCTAGTTCAAGGACCACTATTGTGAAAAAGAGGAGTTTTGACTTCCCTTTAAATTCCATAGATTGAATGCTCAGCCTGTACTGTATTCTAAAGGTCCTGGGTTATAAACGCATGCCTTCAGGTGACTGGACACTGGCAAAGTTTTTAAAGGGAAAATATGCCCCCTGGATGCCTTCCCTATAACCCTCACTCTGAGTCCTTAGTTTTGTAGCATGTAATGCAGAGCAACCGAGGAATAGAAAAAAGGGTGACCCTATGTCCTGTCCTATACTCTGAGATATGGAATTACAGGCAAATCATAAGTCCTCTCATCTTCATCGTACAGTACAAGACATGGGTCGAGTATTCATAGTCACGCTCTTAAAGCTAGTGACTGAGAAGCCAGATAGAATAGAGGGGCCCGAGATAGTAGATCTAGTCTATTGGAGAGATGCCAAGGGTCGTTTGCTAGTAGTCCAAGTATGGCTGTGTACCAAGGTCTTCAGGGCGAATTTGTTGCAATGAGAATTACTGGCTTGATTCTCTTGCTCTATTTTGTAGCGCAGGATATCCACATCTGGGATGACCCTGGAATGTTCCCAAGCAATGAATGAGTATGGTGTGCAACAAACAACTAGGCAAAACAAAACTGTACCAATGGGCCCAACAATAACAACAAGGGTCAACAGATCCAACTTCAGAGTGCTACTGTAAGAACCTTGGGGACAAAAGCTACACCATTAGAAGATTGGACTTGTTAAAACTTTGAAAAGGTATAAACAAAAGGACAAGGTGACAGCCCTACAAAGCTGGGCTACAGAGGCCTAGTACCTGAATGCCCAGGAAACACCCAACCGACTTGGTGGAGTGAGTGCATAAGAGCGCAGGAGGAGATTTGTGCTTAAGAGTGTAAGCTCTAGCCATTAGTTTTCTTATCCATAGAGTGACTGTAAGCAGGCAACCCCTTGTGATGTCTTGAGGAAAGTATTAACAGGGAGTACATCATCCTGATATAAGCTGTTGGTTTGAGGTAGACTACAATGGCTCTGACTAAGCCCAAGTAATAAAGAACAATTTTCATTGAGTGCTTTAGAGCAGTGGAAAAAGATAAAAAGACTAGGTTTTCACTGAGGTGGAAGACTGATACCACCGTAGGAAGAAAATTTTCTTTGGTGTAGGATTAGCTTATCATTGTGAATAAGGAAGGGCTTCTTACAAGAAAGACAAACATGATAGCAAACCAAACAGACCACTTTGCAGGAGAGGCCATCTAATAAGATATCTCTAACTGGTTTATACAGTGATGTCTGGTTTCAGGGCAGAGAGAACCAAGATGAGATTCCAAAAAACACAGGGTGCTGCAAGGGGAGCCTGACCCAGGATACACCTTCAAAGGGGGAGCGAAGTCAGAGGTTTTTGGGAAAAAAAAAAATGGACAGGCCGAAACCTATCATTTCAGAGCGGTTATGGGGCTATCATTTCAAGCTGAGTTCTACCTGAAAAAAAATAAAATAAAAGTCAGGAGCTACAAAAACTGTAGCTGCTGACTTTTAAAATAAAGACACTTACCTGTCCCTCAGTCCAGCGGTGTCCTCACCACTGATAGTTTCACCGGCCCTCTTCTCTCTCTGGCATCTTCAGTGTGGGCACCCGGCTGTGACAGCTTGCGGCTTCACAGCTGGGTGCCCACTGCGCATGCGCGAGAAGCTCTGCGCTTTGTGAATGGCCACGTAGTCTTCTGGGACCTGTCACGTGTCCCAGAAGACTACGGGGAGGGAGGGAGGAAAACTTCCACTTACAATCGCCTAGGCGAACGCAGTGGAAGTGGGAGCGGGTACCTGTCAAATTCGGGTACCCGCTCCCCAAAGGTGCCACCCTTAATGGGGAGCGGGGGACAAAGACTTAAAGCGGAACTTCCCCTTTTGGGTGGAGCTCCGCTTTAAGGCCAAGTTCTGGTCCAGCCCTAATTGCAGGAAAGTCAGAATGTGAGGCACAGAGCAATCAATGTGATTGAAGCACCTGTGTATACGTCAAGCAAAGAAGGATTTCCTGGTAAAACAATAGATCGTAATGAAAGTGGCTTTTCTTGCTTTTATGCAGGCCATAGATGGGGAGAACACCGGCCAATTTTTCTATAAAAAAACGAAAAATTGGTCGTTCAAGCGGCCGACGTTACCAGGAATGGTGAAAAAAAAAAAAAAAAAAAAGGCCGATTTTCATCCCGTCTACAGCCGGCAAAAAGTGTCTCTGCAAAGAGCTCTACTATTGCTTTGACATTTATAGAGGTTGCAACAATGTATCTATTTGTATCCATTTCGGATACAGATGGTTTTATTCGGAAACAAATAGATACATTGTTGCAACCACTATAAATGTCAAAGCACTGTCAAAGTAATAGCGGAGCTCTCTGCAGGGACACTTTTTTGCCGGACTGGAATTCTTCTTCTTCTTCATCCACTTCTTCTACTTCAGCCTCTTCTTCTTCATCATCCTCTTCCTCTTCATCATCCTCCTCTTCCTCTTCATCCTCCTCTTCATCCTCTTCTTCATCCTCTTCTTCATCCTCTTCTTCATCCTCTTCTTCATCCTCTTCTTCATCCTCTTCTTCATCCTCTTCTTTTTGTCTTCCTCTTGCAGGTCACTGCTCATGCGCAGATTTTTTATCGGTAATTAGATCGGCCGATTTGCCCATATTTGCAGCGAAAATCGGCCGATCGGCAAAATCGGCCGATCTTTTTCCAACTTTACCGATAAAAAAAATCTGCCAAAATACCGAAAAAAACGGCCGAACAATTAACCCACTAACGATCTGAAAATCGTCCAATTTTATTTTCGGCCCAAAAATCGGCAGATTTTCGACCCATCTATGGCCTGCATTAGTCTCCTGTCTCCTAAAACCTGGGCTTCAATTCTGGTACAGGTAGTGACTGAGAATCAGGATGGAGTAGAGGGCCCCGAGATTGAAGTTCTGGCCTGATGGGGAGAAACCAGGGGTTGTCTTCTAAAAGTCAGAGTATAATTGCCTACCAAGTTCTTCTGGGCCAGTTGGGTGCAATGAGAGTCATCTCTGACACATCACATTGTAGATATCCCCTTTCCAGTTTCCACTCCTGGGAAGTGGACAGCAGAGATAGCTGAACAGTGGATCTGGCTTGCTGCCTTCAATGCTGCACGACTCTTACTGGACCATTTGGTGCTTGGAGATCCATAGAGCTAATTCCTTGCTTGGCTGGACAGGAGCATGGGTAGGTCTAGCAAATTAATATGCTTGATGCTTGTTCCAGGTCAAGAAGATGTTTTACTGGAGAGGTCACAAATTAAATTTGGTGAATATGTCCAGAACAAGACCCAAACTTTTCAGGCCAAAAGAAGGCTGGAGAGCAGATGTTTGAAGTTGGTCACCCAACAGAAAGCCTTGAGCATCTGAATTGTCCTGTGGAAGTAGATAGCTGGAACAAAGGTGAGTCCTTCAGGAGAAGATTGTTTAGATAACCTGTGACTTACATCCCCTCAGTTCTTAAGGGCAAGAAGTGCGAGGACCTTTGTGAATACTCCAGGAGCAGAGGATAAGCCAATGCGAGGTGTGACAAACTGGAAATTATTTGCTTGCACTTCAAAGTGCAAAAAGAGTGGATGTAGTGGATAAATGGGAATATGTAGATAGACATCAAAGACGCTTACGGATGTTAAGTATTCCTGGTATTCCCCTAGTCTCAGTAATACCTGACCTTGCAGATTCTATACGAAATTTTGGAATTTGAAAGTATTTGTTGAGTGATTTGAGGAAAAGTACAACAATCCTCCATTGGGCTTTGGTACCGTGAACAGGTTTGAATAGAATACTTTGAACCTGTCTTGTGAGGGTACAGGCACAACTACTCCCTGGGAAAAGAGATGGTTCAGGGCATTCTGCAAATCTGATTGTCCTTGGTTGAGAGAAGAAAGCGGTGAGGTGGTTTTAACTCTATTTAATACCCCTTTGAAACCACTGATTGAACGCAAAGGTCTGGGATGTTTATGACTCAGAAAGAACTGTAACAGACATCCCCCATTCTTAAGAGTGAGGGCGCCCCTTCATTGGGATGAGGGCTTTGGGAAAGACTTAGGTGCCTTTGTGGACCAAGTCTTACCCTAAAAGAAAGGACTGGGCTTAATTTAGTTTTTGACATTAAAAGTGGAAGTAAACCCACTTTTGTAGCTTTTACCTACCTGGTAAGCTTATAATACAGCTTACCAGTAAGGAAAATGAGTATCTCCTAAACATTCACCGTTTTAGAGATGTTCACTCTGTTTGAAAGGCGGTGTATGCGCTCTGAAGGAACAACATACCCGCGTCGTTCCTTACAGCACTGTGCCGTGCCCCAAGACTTCCAAGTGTATGCGCAGGAGTGACATCACCGTGGCTCAGCCAGTCAGACGGCTGAGTTCACGACCCAGAAGGAAGACCGGGTGAAGATGGAAGCCTCTTCAGTGGTGACAGTGCGCCGCTGGAGGTCTTTGTTTTAAGGTAAGTCCTTAAATGCATACTAGCACATTATGACATTATATTGCAGGGAATTTTTTAAATGTTTTTCAATCTGTGGTTTACTACCGCTTTAAAGCCAGGGCAGAGCAATTAGGTGCTCTGCATCTGGAAGAGGTAGAGGCTCCTGGGGAGGAAAGGTGTTTGGAATCTTCCACTGTGAAAGCAGAACCTACCCTCCTGTGACATCTGTGGTATCTCACCAAACACATCCCCCTTCAAAGGGCATACATGTGAGTTGTCTTTTACAGGCAGCTTCAGCTGTCCAAGCTTGGCGTCACAAGAATTTAGCATGTAAATATAGATTAGAGCCATTCTTGAAATTTGTTTCATAACTTGTTTTAGGGCAGCCACACAAAAGCCACACAGTAAAGACACAATCCTGGAATACAGGAATGTGTTCATTACCCCAGTTCAGTTAGCTTAGATTTAGAAAGTCTGTTTGTATCCAAAGGCATGGCAGGACAGAGGAAAATTACCCCCGTCTTCTTTCCAGGCCATTTTTTGCTATACGGCACCACGTTACTTTAACTGACAATTGTGTTTTCATGCAATGCTGTACATAAGTTACATTTATGTATTTTTTCCCCCACAAATAGAGCTTTCTTTTGGTGGTATATGATCACCTCTTGGGTTTATTTTTTTGTGCTATAAACGAAAAAAAAAAAGACAGACAATTTCTGAAAATGAAAAAAAAAACTAATTTTTTTACTTTTTGCTATAAAAAATATCCAGTAAAAGATCTAATTTCTTCATAAATGTAGGCCAGTATGTATTCTGCTGCATATTTTGGAGGGAAAAAAAAGTGAATATTAATTGGCTTGCGCAAAAATTATAGTCTACAAACTATGGTATATATAATGATTTTTTTTTTTATTAATACTAGTAATGGCTGCAATCAACAGCTTATAGCGGAACTGCGATGTGTCCTGTCATTCTCCTCACCGATCAACAGGTGCCAGTGCTCATCCAGTGGTACCCCCTACATCAGGAAGTGCAAAATCACATGTATATACATGATTTTGCACAGAATGGCCACCCTGCAGCAGTATATCTGATATAGGCAGTTGGCAAATGGTTAAACAGACAAAAAAAAATATTAAATTACATTTTAAGATGTGGGGGATGCATTTGTTTTCGTTCTTTTAATGACTTTTTTTTCTTTTATTTTCAATTGGTGCTAAAGACAGTAAGTCTATTATTTTTCAACTTCTTTTAACAGACCAAGCTGTCCAGACAAAGTAGCAGTTAAGTCGGTTGAGACAAACCATTTACCACTGACAGGGATGCTTACAATGGTCAGTTTTTTTTCCACAGTGTTGGCGGAATTCAGCTTTAATTTGTTAGTCAAGTTTATCTAAATATGCAAGTCTAACACTACCCTCTCCCCAGTCTGACAGACAATGCTGCTGTCCAAAGGTGTCCGTTTTACTACTTCCTCCAGAATGCAGACACTCTAAGGCAGGAAAGGTGTTAATGACTGGATCACCAGGAGAAATAAAAAAAATGAAAAATTAAAAAAGAAAACTAATGCAGTCTCCACATGTAAGGACTGTTAAGCTGCAATATATTACATTTTTGTTTTTGGGTTTAATACCACTTTAAAGTACAATAATGCCAAGGCTTTCGAGCTCAGCAGAAGTGAGCATTGTCACATTTGCAAGCTTATTGCGTGAAGCTGTAACTTCAGGCGTATAGAAGCATGAGGATGAGAAGTCTTCCACAGCCTCCTCTAACACCACCTTATAAAGTCTTTGGACACAAGTAGTGGAAAAGTGTGTGACCAGTGATGTGATATTAACACCTGGCCATCAACTTGAGATTAAGCTCTCAGTGGTTGAGTTTGGTAACAAGTTTGAAAAATGTACACTGTAAAGTGAATACAACAAGCCCCCGTCTTTTTACAGTAATGGTCAGAGATACGGGGTGACCATATCTTATCTGTTAATGATGCTGATCCCTATTAAGGGTCCAGTCTTCACCGGACACGATGGGCAAAAAGATCTTCAGGGTCTGGGTTCCATAGGGATGGACCACAGCCCTGTACCTGTAAAGCATCCTTTGGCTGAGTACATGCATTGCAGTTAAGTGCCAAGGTGAGCGCCCAAGTAGCACCCAGAGCGTGAAGCAACATTACAGGCTGTTCCTAGGTTGTGGGGTCTAGGTACTTCTCCCAAGGTTTTACTGAGATTGCACTGCTTCTATTGTGGTATTAGAAGACAGTGAAGAGTTGATCACAGAAAATAAAATAGCAAACCAGTTAAGCTAAGAGTATTTTTTCACGTGTGTGTTTTATCACATTAGGATGCTAGCAAAAAACTAAGGACTTACGCAGTACAGTAGGTGTTTAGGGAAGGCACCCAGCGGGCATGTCTTCAAAAAGTTTGCCAGTGTTCAATCATCTATAGGTATGAGCCTAAACTTAGGTTCTATGAATACTCAGCCCGTGTCCTGTACTGTATGATTAAGATAATACTACATTTGAATAACTTCATGTTATGTCATACTTGTAATGGTAATATTAGTTATATACATTTGGAAAGGACAGATGGCATTACCCCATGCAGACAATGTTGAACATCTAGAACGCAGAAAAAACCTTCCCATGTACCTGTGTGGCATTCCCATGATGACATAATCAACACCATTCTCACTGGATTTATCAATGATGGTCTTTAAGGCAGGAATCAGCACTTCGCAACCCTCCAATCCAAAACGCTTCTCAGAAGACCACTTACGATGAAGGAACTCTTCAAATCTGTAATGAAATCAATGTTATTATGAGAGACCACAGAGATGATATTTAGCTGGAAAAAAAAGGTAAGAACAAAGTAAGAACAGATTTAGTTTTGTTAAAATTGACTTAGGGTGGTCCTGAAACGGTTAATCCGACTCCTAATCCAATGCCTGTTCTAGGAACGGCCCCCATTCAGAGCAAATTTAGGAAGCAGGAACGATATCTCCCAAAATAAAAAAACCTTCACAAAGGGTCACTGGTGCCCATAAATGTGGCGCCAGGGTCATAAATTCTGTTGCTAAACTGCATATATTTTCACTGATAATAATATACAAGAGTACATGTCCTTGAATTTCAGCAACATAAATTTTGAACTCTGCAAAGGAGCAACAACCAGTTTGAGGAAACCACTCATAACATTTTTGGACATCAGTTAAGGACCCCAGTATTACAATCATACTCTTCCTAACTCAAGGAGGAAGAAAAGAGCACCATTTTGGATTATGGTCCACTTTAAAGTTAATCAACATACCTAGTAGATCTAACTAGTCTGGCTAGCATAGTACGTTTCTCCTCATTGTTGAACTGCATGATTCCTGGTGTCTCAAACTTTTCGCGGATCCACTGACACTGTTCTAGATCATTGATAAACATGAACTCTACTCCAATGTGCTGACAATAGGAAGTCTGCAGAAACAAGGTAGATCAGGCCAGGAAAAATATATTTCATTTGCAGTTTGACAAGGCAGTATATATATTCCGGTGCATAAACCCATTTTGATGAGTCTCTCTTCTTACCTCTAGTCTTTTGATGATCTCTCGGAGGGGCAGTGCTGTCTCATTGCCTCCAATAAAAGTAGTGGTTGGTAGATGGAAGACTTTGTCAAGGTCTGATTCCTCCAGCCCATAAAACCCTACGAGGGGCAGCGGTCAAAGACAGACAGACGGAGGCAGCGTTACAGGAGGAGCAACACAATGCAGCCAGTCATGCAGAGGGTTCAATGGTGTTAACAATGGTGTGGCATATTCAATACGAAGGAGAGAAAGATGACAGGACAGGAACGAAGGACAGGGATATGGCCAGCACAAAACAGGAGATAGAAAATGGGCACATCACAAGGAAAGGTTATCATGGTACAGATGAAGCAGGGTTATTATTAAGTGATTGACATAATTATGGCACATGAAACATTAATGAGAATTTGTAAGGCAGATTTGGTGTACAGAAGTGTAAAAGAATGGGAAGCAGATAGAGATACAAGCAGAATGGCAGGTAGTGAAACGGGATAGAAGAAAGGCATTAGTCTACAATTGACCTGAAAAATACTTTCTTCCCCAGTACAACAACAATTTATCAATTATAATAGGAATCACAGCTGTACAAATAACTCAGTATCATAAATAAAGTACCACTCATACACACAAAACCTCAAGATTATAATATGACTGTTAACATGACTCTGAAGAACAAGGCTAGACAAATCTCAGAAGCCGGGAAGTCATGGCACTTAAAATGCTGACACTGGCATCTAATATGTGCTGGAACCATTTCTACTGCGAATGTCTACTTCAATGTCTACTGTGTGAGTTCAGGTTTTGAGGGTGTAGATATATTGCATAAGATAAGTAGGCAGTTGAGACTCTAGATACAGCAATATTACACCTATTTAAAGTATTGGATGGCTTCTAGAATCTACAGCCTATGCCCCCACATATGGAAGATCATAACTTTAAGTGCTTTAATGGTCTCAGATGGAATAACTACACAGCAATGAAGCTATGTGAAAACAAATCAGCTCACAATTCACAGTTTGCAGAAATTACTGCATGTATGTTTATCTGTAAATTAGTTTCATGCTAGTCCACAAGTATCTTCTTGCATTTTAGATTTACAGGTTAAACATGTACAAATTTGCTTATTTCCGCATCCTAATGTATTTTACATTTTAGTTGTAAATACTGCTTTTTTATTCCTACTTAGTAATATAATAATTAGTTATAAGAAGAGGAAAGCCTTTTTGTTTTGTGTACCTACCACCTATGCAGGTGTGACAGTGAATACGCAGTTTTTAGTGCAAGTTGAGTTTAGAGCAGTCAATTCAATTCAATGGGTTTTCTTACAAGTGAAAATGGCACAAAACTGCATAGAGTAATTTTGTTTAAACCACGCCACACAAAAACACATGGTACTTTGTTACCATGCATGTTGGCACACATTAGCAAGGTAACCATTGAGAATTAATGGCAATGCTGTGCACCTGCGAAAGGCAGGCACATTATTTGTACATTGTGGGAACAATCACGGTTTTGAGCAAATTTCCACATTGCATAAATCTGAACCTAGTCTTAGGCTGACAATAGACACTAACCTAAGACATGCAAGCTCTATAGAAGTCTCTATAACACAACTCCTACAATCCCATCTAACAGTACCAAAACCTACTGATCCCTCCCTCATATCACCACTCTGTAGCAATCCCTAAATCCCAGCTGTAAAAATCAACTTAAAGAGTTTGGAAACCCTTAGATATACCCACTGAAGAGACTGGTCTCAGGTGATACACAGACATTAGACAAATCCTCCTATATAAGTTATACCTATTTATCTGCGACCTCTCTCTACAGCTGTTCAAATCACAGAGTTTACACAGCATTTCTGAGCTTCCAGGAGACAGGGGGAGGGGATCTGATGTCACACACTGTACAGCACAGAGCAGGGAGCAGAGTGTAATCCGAAATCTGAGTGGAGGCAAAGGACACTTTCCAACCTCCCTTCCCCCTTCATGCACAGCCTCACAGGGAAACATGCACAGCTGGGGCAGTTGATCACCTGTGTGCTGATTGGGTAGCTGGACCATCTCCCGAGAATTTCTGGTGTCTGCATAGACCAAAGGTAGACAATCTCAGCACTCCAGCTGTGGTGAAACAACACATTCCATCATGCGTCTGGGCTGTCGGTCTTGCAATGCCTTGTGGTATTTTCTAATTCTACAACAGCTGGAGCGCTCAGGTTGCCTACCCCTGGCATAGGCCATCAGAAGTGACTCATGCAGATAGCAGAAGAATGAGAGAGCAGACATAAATCACACTAGGTGCTTTGGATAGATACAAGTAGACAATATAGAGGGCTATGCCCTGTTCATTTTCATTTCAGTGGTTTACATACACTTTAACTTACTTTCTCTTGCCTCGTCCCTTCTTTTCACATTGACTGGAATAATTAATTGTATTGTCTGACCTCAGTCAACAGAAAAAAAAATACTTCCAGCTAATCAGGAAAGAAATGATATCACTTTATTAAGAACATAATATGTTACAACAAATGGGACCGATCTACTTCAATATAGAGGGATGAAGTCTCACATAGAAATGGATAGACTGAATTCAGATGCTTTTTTTTTCTGCAAACATGATTGCAATTATCAAATATCTTTTTTGAATCAGGAACAATTCATCCATCCATTTCTATATAAAGCTGGGTATACAGTGAATTATTTTTGTTCAACCAGAGGGTTGAATGAAAAAAAAAAAAAAAAACAAACTTACAGATGCCTGCAACCACACAAGTGATGGGAATGTAGGGATCTCCCTCCCCTATCAGAATACACTGATCAGCGCTGCAGCCATTAGTTGAAGAGGCTGATCAAATGGAGGTTTTCCAGCAGGACAGTTTGACGGAAGCTTTGCCACTTTTGAGTGCAATACAGCCCTCACCATTTGTTGCACTACATTTTGCTTTGCATTGTACACAAGGCCCCTTTTGTGTATAACATGTTATGCATGTGAGCAGCCTATACCTTGCAACACGTTAGTCTCTGGATTGCTCCTACTGTCCCAGAATGACTGAATTTGAATTACAGAAGACTGATTTCCAAATCTAAGTTTTCACAGTTGCTATCAAGGGATTGCTAGTGAGCTGTCACAGGAGAAAGATCTTACAACAGCCTCTATGCACAGGTACTGTTAGAAGGGAGAGAAAGAAGAACAGATAGCACCTGAATCAACATGGCCTAAAAAAGAAATGGCTGGTCAGATCATTGTCACATGTTTGACCAACATTTCATATATCTGCTCTAGTGTTTCTTTGCATTAACACCAGAAGAGGTGTTTTCTTCAAAGACATCAAAAGAGCACTGCTATCAGCAGGGGCGGATTGACAACTCATGGGGCCCCCGGGCAATAGGGGATCATGGGGCCCCTGTGTCCTTGCCCAAACTCAAAAAAAGCCTATGAAAAAGGTACCAGGGGCATCTCATGGGGCCCCCTACTGACCTCGGGCCCTTGGGCAGTGCCCGAGTTTCCAAATGGTCAGTCCGCCTCTGGCTATCAGTAAAGACTGTTCCCACTACTGTAGAGAAAAGTATTTCCTACTGCATTTAGGTGTGCTGCTCCAATGGCTGGTTTAATCACCAAAGTGATGTCTTGTTCTGTAGGACCGCTTCCAATAATATTGCTTACACCAGAGAATTTTAATCAATGGGATGTGTGAACATCTCATCAGTCCCTTAACACTCCAAATTATTCTGCTTAAATGAACTTCAAGCAATTAATTTGCAGTAGCACTGGAGAGCTGATTAATCACTGATTACAAGAGTGCTTAGACAGCCATACCTGACAAAACATTTCTCCTCTTTCAATTACTACAGTATGAAGTACAGAAAATCGTGAACACAACTTTGCATGTTACATAAAATGAATGCAAAGTAGATTTTTACAGTTGCAAAGAAATCCAAGTCCCTATGCAAATGACAAACATGCTGAGTGTACACATTTTGGGGTTAATTCACATGGGTGCAGAGGCCCATACAGTATGCAAGAGTTGTTTAATAATGCTTTCAGAGCAGCGTGCAGTCAGCCTATGTTCATCAATGAAAGTGCAGCAGTTGTATGGACATCTGAGTTTGACAGGTAAGCAGGGACAGGTGCATGGCCCTGAATGCAGTGTGAATTCAGAGCTGTATACCTGTCCCTGCAGGTCTATCAAACCTCAGATGTCCGTACAACTACTGCGCCTTCATTGACTAACATAGGCTGCCTATGCACTGTTCCAAAAGTATAAACAAATAACTCCTCTGCACTTGTGTCACCGAGCTCTAAAATGTATATTTCCAATTGGTTGTTTTACACAAGGTGCCCTTGGCTATATCTACAGAGTACAATCCCTTGTAAATAAGAAGCCACTAGACCTCCCAAGAAAGATTTATTTATTTATTTATGGTACTTATATAGTGCTGTTGTACATTCACATCAGTCCTTAACCCTCAAGGGGTGTACAATCTAAGGTCCCTAACTCACATTCATACATACACATACTAGGGCCAATTTAGTCAGGAGCCAATTAACCTACCAGCATGTCTTTAAAGACTTCTGATATTATATACTGGACTTTGTGAAAAACCAACATTTTTTAGCATGGTCTTCCCTGTATATTGGCTACAAAGTAGAATTAAACCTCCTAGCCTTTGTATGAAATGAACATAAGTTTTTATTTTTTTAGAGATAACTTGTCAAGTTTCTCCACATATGCAGCTTATTGGCTTGGACATCCAAGATCAGAACCTCATTGATCAGCTGTATTATTACAATTGCAGAGCAGGTCCTAGGCTACCACTTCCCTCAGTAAAACACAGAAATGAGTTCTGAAAATGCACAGTATACCAAATATAAGCCTAAGTAACTCAGAGAAGTGGAAGAATTGGAGCTGCAAGAAAGCAACTTTTTGAAAAAAAATGTTTTTATTTATGATTCCCAATGCACTATAGGTTATTTAACCCTTTAGCTGCCAGAGCCTTTTTTGCACACGTTTAAAAAATCATATTAGACCTGAAGATTACACAAAACCCCCGATATTATATATCTTCTGAAAGCAGGTACTCTAGAAAATAAAATAGTGCTTGTTCCAATTTTGTATGTT